CCAAATCTCTATCAAATTGAAACTTGGGTGATGAGAAACTTTCCCTATTTGGTAAATTCTTGACCTTTCCACAAATAACATAATTAAGAATCACATCCATTCGTTGTAGAAATATGCAAACATCAATTTTTCATAACGATTTCATTGCAAGGAAATAAATAAATAAATAAGTCAAACCAAAATTTATTTTATTCATAAAAACAGCGGAAAACATTTGTCCTTACAATGCAAAATCAACTAAAAGACTATGTAATCAAATATATCTAACAAATCTATCATAACTTTCTAAGCTCAAAATCTAATCTTCGAATCCATGTGATCGAAATTCATTTCTTCGTGATTAGACTCATCTTGCCCTTTCATCAAGCTTCCTCTCTTTTCACTGATCCTACAAAACATTCAAATGCAATCTTATCACATAATATATTAAGAATCAACGAATAGGAACTTAATGGAGTTAGATATTGGATTTTACCTGAAGCACAGCCATACTCTTTGACTCTCCCATCTTCTGCACTCTTCAGGCTCTTAGGGAAAACTTGTATCCAACGCCCTTTCTCTTGGCAGCAAACGCAGGTCGGTTCTCCTAGAACGTCCTCGGAAGCATGGTTGGTTGACTTTCCCAACAAATACGCTCCATTGCTTTGCCAAATCATTTCTGATTCAGCAGCAATCAGCATGTAAGTTAGGTCAATAAGGTTTGCGTCATGATCCATCATATAATACTTTCTTTTGAACTCATTATATGATTCAGGGAGTGACTGCAGAACCCAGTCTACAACCAACTTATCAGGGAATGATGTACCCAACATTATCAACCTATCAACGTGTGATTTCATTCCTAGACCGTGGGCACACACGGGTTTACCATCTTCATGTTTCATTTCCAATAGGGATTTAGTGACATTGAACCTTTCAATTCTTTGATCTTGTGGGTTAGGGAGAATAATTGGAGGAGGAGGAAGTGAAATCAAACTAGTCCACCTAGATTCTTCACTTGAATAGTGGAACAACTTATTTTCAGTAGGAACACCTTTTCCTTGAAATTTGGGAAGACCATGATTGTCATACTTTGACATCTACAAAACGGGAGAAAACAAATTTAAGTTAGTTGATTGATTGAGTCCTTAATAAATCATCCAAATGAGATATTAAGGCTAGGACCCAACACAATACTCTACAACTTAGGAGAGGGATGCCGTAACCCAAATTGCAGAACATTTGAAGGTAAGTGAATGACGATTCACTAATTTCCACCATGAAAACGAAAAACAGATTAAGTTTTAAATGCTTTGAAAACTCCTAGATCCTTTGAGATTCATTGAAGTTTTCAATGGCATGTTTGAATCTCGATATGCCCCTCGATTTGTGACTGGGATGCCGAGGATCACAAAACAGGGTGTGAATAACCATGCAAACTTACATGGCGCCCCCACATGTTACAGTCACCTATTCGATGTACCGGCTAACCACACACGCTCCACTGAACTATGACAAACATTGAGTCACCATTTGCTACCTTTGTTTAGACCCATTTAGTGTGCCGGTTAACCACACATGCTCCACTAACGTCTTCGCAAGGGCACAAAGTGTAATTTCATGGAATTGCATCAATTCACTTTTGCCTAATGTAACTAACATTGGGAATTTGTAAAAGCAATTAGTTACTTTTGTATTTCATTATACTTATAATGGAAGGTTTCTGTCCTATCTTACCCGTTCGGCTAATGACCCTCCACTAGTCAAGAGTGCGGTGGGTAAGAGTGGATACCCATTCAATCGCCATTTTATAGGAAATTTCCTCAAACACCCCTTATAGACCAGCTTCGTGAATGAAGCCTACTAATAGTAAGACTTGACACTTTACTCATATATATAATATTAGACTTTTAATGATATATATAGTATAGGGTGTATTTTATACTTTTAAAATACTAGGTGTTCTAATTTAATAATTATACTTTTAATTTAATTAAATTGTACACCAAAACTTTATGGATTTACTAAGTCTCTTTTAATTATACATTTTAATTAATTAATAAAACCATAAGAGTGCAATTTGAACTTTTCAAACCTATACTAGGGTTTTAGAAATTAATATTTCTAAATTAAACTTTTAATCAACTTTTAAATTCCAAAACTTGAGGGCAAGTTTTGAAACATTTCAAATCATTAGGGTTTAGAATTTAAATATTTCAAAATCAACCCTTTTAATCAAAAATTCAAATTCCAAAACTTGAGGGCAAATTTTGAAACCTTTCAAAACTATTAGATCAAAATACAAATAAGGCAATTAAACAATAGAAAACAATCAAGTCTCTGATACCACTAATGGGTTTTAGCCATAAGAACATCCTATGTGCTTATACAAACCCTAATGCTTGGATCTAGGTTTCTCTATTGTACATGCTATTCATCCAAGACTTTAAACCCTAAATCTAGCATATGATAATCAATATTAACATAATAATGGGTTTAAGATATTACCTTGATTGTTATGTAGCAATAACAATCTCAAATCCTCCTTGCAATGACTTTAGAAAGCTTAGGGTCACAAATATCACTCCTCTAATGGCTCACAAACACCAAGAGCAAGAGGATGAAGAATAAGGAGAGAGGAGGCTTCCCAAAACGTGTAGAAACCCTAAGGAACAAGTTCACCACGTTTTTGGGGCTTAAGGGTTCTTTAAATAGTGAGACTATTAGGGTTATCTAACAAGGAAACCCTAATTTGGATGCTTACGCCCTAAGCAACCCATGGACTCCCTCCTTAGAGGCCTTGGACGATTTCTAATGGGTTTCCCCATAGAATTCGTCCACTCCTCTAATATGGAGTTCATTAGTCCAATATTAAACTATCATACAATTGATAGTTTTAGTCCTTTAAGTTTGATTAATGTCTTTTAGCCACAAACTTAATTCTTATTAATTCTTGACTAATATTAATTAAACAATATGATTTCTCCTTTAATATATTATTCTCATAATATATTAATAAATCATATTTAATCCTTTCTCTCCATAATTCATTCTATCAAGTTGCTTTGGTGAAGACAACCCAAAATAACCATGCACCATCGAGTCAAATACATACCAAAATAGTTATGGACTTAGACACTAATCCAACATTTAACTCCTTCTGAAGACAAGATCCCTTTCAAATTCCAAAGAAGACAATTTCCATTAGCTGTATCTTTTGCAATGAGAATTAATAAGAGCCAATGACAGTCTTTATCGAAAGTTGGTTTGTTTCTAAAGGATTCTGTTTTTTACACATGGTCAATTGTATGTTGCTTTATCCAGAGTTTAAAGTAGACAAGGATTAAGATTGTTGATTGTAGATAAACATGGTAGACTAACAAATAAAACGTCAAATGTTGTGTATAATGAAATTTTTAGAAATTTGTAAAATAGTTTGTACAATTTTATTTTTTATATGAATTTCAGTATTTGTTTTAGTTATAATTATATTTCATTTTATAAAATTATAATTTTTTTGCATATCCACAAATACAAAATACCAATTGCATATTCAAATCACAAAAAGCTCGTAATTTCAACTAATGGTTATGTCATTATCATATTACTCGAAACATATACACTTTAATTTGTAAAGATTTTATCATCTATTATCACTATAAATTTCAAATAAATAAGTTATAATTCAATTAAAAAATATATTTTAATTTCTAACCCGTGGTGCCCACGAGTTATAACCTACTATATATATATATATATATATATATCATTTTTTGTTTATTTAGACATTAATTAAACATCATAAAGACATAAACCACAATTGTTTTCTATTTCATTCGGCCCAATTATGAGAGATATACTAGGATTATTATTATTATTATTATTATTATTATTATTATTATTATTATTTTGGAACTACAAATTAAATCTACTCCTACACTATTTCTAAATCTCTATCCATGTTTATCACGAAACTTAAACCCTCAACTTCAATGAGAAGGGTAACACCAGATATCGTTGGGCTAAAAACCCTTTGGTAAGAGATATATACTAAGTCATCCCAAAAAATTATTTTTAAATATTAAGTATTTATAATAAAAAACCTCAAAAACTATTTTAAAGTAAAACACATAAGCAAGTCATTAAATTAATTACATTCAAACCTCTAATTTTATCTATGTATTATATTAATAAAAAAAGTATTAAAAATATTAAATAATAAATATTTTTTGGATATATATCAGGATATAATTAAAAAAATAATTACTGCAAAACATTATATAATTAAAAAAATAATAATAAAAATACTATTCGTTCCGGAATCAGAATAATCGATCTGATAAATAATTTTTTAGACTTCCATATTTTTAAATACCCTAATTAAATTTACAGTAATAATTTGTATCGTCGCCCCTGGGAGAAGTTAAGGAAGAATACAGGAACAGAATATATATATCCCCCGCCAACCATTATTGAATGCCTTTACAGGTAAGCTGAAGTGACACATCATCATAAAAATTAGAAAGGACCCATCGGTCCAGTTTGTAAGGCTTTCGGGACTCCAATTCCATTATATACTATTTCACTAAAATTTTATATCAAAAGTATATACTAGTAACTATGTTCATCGTATATACTTATGAATTCTTTTGAGAATTGTTCATACGAGTGTAGTCTATAAAAAACTACGAGGGTAATCATTATCTAGAGTTGAAAAATCAACGGTCTTCATACTTATAATTCTGAAGTCAGTTGTACTATTAGGCGTGGAGATTAAACAACTAATATATGGGTACCACGATTTTCTTTGTTTGGGTTATTATAGTCGTCTTTGTTTGAGTTATATAGTCATCTATATATCAATTATCATATGGTCCCAACATGTATACATCATTTGAGTTTATTGGTGACAAAGTTTAGTCAAAATCAATTCACTTGGCTTTGATCAGCACTCGTTAGGCAACTTCCTCGATCCCCCTTATTCTTCTGAAATTCTTCTGGCTTCTCACGTTGAGTGGGCGATGGTTGTCTTAGTTGTGTTTCTTGTGTTTTTGTTGATTGAGCCAGGAATTTCACAGTCAAACGACCATGATAACAACACTAACATTCATCTTCAATCGTTCTGTGGTAATATCGCTCCACTACGTCCTACAAATTTCATCAAGAATCGTAACTCTACCTTTGCTGAACTCAGAAAGCAATTAATGAATGAAGGAGTACTTTCTGCAAGAGCACAGGATTTAAGTGCTGGGGACACCGTCTATGCAGCAGCTCAGTGCAGGAACTACCTATCCAAAGATCAGTGCGTGGCTTGTTTTGATGCTGGCGTTTCTGTACTGGTGAAATGCACAGCTGGCAATGGTGCTTACACACTCTTCGATAACTGCTTTATCAGGTAAAGTGTACTATGTTTACAATTGTATGTATAACTAATTTAGTAGAGTTGTTGTAGAGCTAGAGCACAAATTAATTGTTTCACTTGCTACACGCAAGTGATTGTAATAAACATGTGTCCCTAACCTAATAGAAGTTTCAGCGCAACCATACGAGCAACCATGCGAGCATCATATATGTACACTATCTCAATATGCCTTGCAAAACAATAATACAATATTATACTTTTATGCATTATTTTGATGAAAAAATATCTCTAGTATTTTATAATATCTTTTATACTATAAAAGAATTCCATCAACATTGAGTTCAACTTATCTGAATGGTATTTAAAGTTAGAAGTGTTGTTCATCTTTATGGTCTTAAATTTTTGCCTTATCATTCTTCAAATCGATTAAGATTGAGTTAAACTCATATAAATGATATTTCAAGAGAGAATGCTTCTTCATCCTGAATGTAATCAATTTTTTTTTTAACAAAAGCTTATTTGTTAAATATTTAGTCATATATAATGGCTCAATCTTTTGCTATAAATCTAATGCACTCTCTTCATTGGTAACTTCATAATGTACCTCATTTGAAATTCTTAACAATATCATAGAATGATCCTTTTCTTTTTTCTTATAACCTGGTCTCATCTACTCTTGTTAGCCTCTCACTGAAAAACGGAATCCAAACACCTTGGTGCTCAACAATATTTCAACCTTGATTTGGTATACGCTTAAGCTATTTTCTAGGTTAACTTCTTGATCGTCACTTGGGGAACCGTTTTCTAGTTGACAAAACTAATGTAGATTGATGCTAAGTTTCACTAAAGAACTTTCCCACACACTCACTTAAGAACACATGAACCTATTTTCATGAACCTCATGAACACCAATTGGAGCTCTTTGAGGACTTTTATTAAACACTTTGTGTGTGTACTCAAGCAATTCCCTGATGTGAATATGGAATTGTAATATTTTATGTCCTTGATCTTGATCGAAACTTTAATGAAAACCAGTTCAATCTTCACCCAACCATTGTTCCCTTGGAAACACTATCAAACAACTATGTTTTGTTAGTATATCTCAAATTGATACGACATGATCCCTTATATAAGGGCTCTTTTGGAGAGAGAGTCTTGGATTTCACATATATTTCACATACTATCAGAGTTGGCATCCGCATCCCATGGCTTAATACATCATTGTCTGACCTCATCAAGCCTCAATCTCTAAGGAGAAGTGTTAGTGTATCACACACTGATGAGACACAATTCCTTATGTATCTATATATGTTGGGGTCTTCTTCTATCACTAAAGGTTTTTTTGAAGAGACAATCTTGCACTCCACATATGTTTTACATGTTTAGCACCACTTTTCGATTAGAAATACACTTCTTTGATATAATATCAATATTTTTGCTCGTAAATTGTGATTGAAACTTGTGTTTGTATTGGAAATGAGATGAAACAAGAAAGAAGGTTAAAATGGTTGTTTTATGATAGATAGAGAGAAATGAAGCTCGAATCAGACACCTGAACCTAATAGGAAACAACATTATATTTAGACCAATAACTTATAGAAAAGTTAAACATACAATTTATTATTTTTTGGAAGTAATTTTAATTATCATTTCATATCGATCTAAAGAAGCTTTGGAAAAAGAAGTTATAAATCTTCTATGTCATCTCTTGTTAAGGTACGAAGACTTTGCTGAATTCTATAACAACCCAAATGTGCACCAGGATGGGATTGGCGCACCATCTTCATCATGTGGTAATCAGCCAGCATCACAGCCAATTACAACTTTTCAAGGAGTTGTGGATGGCTTGTTAACAGATATTAGAGATGCTACTCCAAAAACATCTAATTTCTATGTAGCATTGACAAGGGAAATCGCAATTGATAATAATGCAACCGTGTATGCGATTGGACATTGTGTTGGAAATAAAACCGCATGTCAACTTTGCATGAATGCTGCATATAACCAATTAAATAATTGTCTTCCAAGAATAGAAGGATGGTTTTTCGACATGCCATGTTTTGCAAGGTATTCAACGACTCCATTTTTCAATAACAACCAGACAACAGATATCTCAAGTGTCTTAAAAGGTGAGGTGACTTCTTTCAGTTTCCTGAAAGAATCAATTCTGCGGATCCAGACTTCTTGGGTTTATAACTTTTGTTTGATTATATGATAGGGCATTCAAGTGAGGTACCCATAATTGTTGGAACAGTTGCTGGCATAGCTTTGTTTTTCACTATCATTGTCATGTGGTTAGTGTATCGAAAACGGAAGAAAGCTAAAGAGATTGAGCAAGGTGATTGTATATATGTGTTATGTGTATTTATGAGACATTTGTATTTGTCTTCTTCCGACCATGAGGCTATCAACACCTGGTTGACATGGTTGGTGTGTCATGTGGCTGATCATGTGAAATTATTGATCATTTGTTGTTTTTCCGGATATAGTTCTTATCAAAATATTTTATTTAGTTTTATAATAATTATAACGATAAACTCTCTGTATACATGTCGACCATGTTATTCCATGGAAGCAGAGGATTTGAAGGGTGCAGTACATTACAATTATAAAGATCTGCAGCTGGCTACCAATAATTTTGGGGAAGAGAATATTCTAGGAAGAGGAGGTTTTGGTGAAGTATTCAAGGTAATAAAATAGAATTTTCTTTTTGGAATGATATTATTGATTTCAATCTGGTTTCAACATATAAATATTTATTTTCCAGGAAAGGCAAACAATTTCTCATGAATTACATTTCATAAGATCTATCAACTTCTTAGTCATTGAAGATTCATTTATAAGAACAGTAGTTGAATGACAAATATTTAAGATATAAATGTTATTTATATTTATCAAGCAAGTGATAATGTTCTTTCCAAATATTACACCCATGGAACTTAAATTTTTGTTGCCCCTATACACACATTGCTTGTAATTGTGATATTCCTAAATTTCGTACTATAAGTTAGTACCTCTAGGTTAACCTATCAAATTAACTTTAGATATCGTAAGTCAACATTTCTCATTTTCTACAAACAAATTGGGGATATAATTTCCTTATTATTCACTTATTGAAATAAACTCTTGAATGGTTTATTATAGGCAACCCTTGATGATAACAATATTGTGGCAGTAAAGAAACTTCATGTACAACATGCTAGAGTAAAAGAAGAATTTGAGAATGAAGTTAAGCTTATAAGTGACGTTCATCATCGAAATCTTCTACGTCTCCATGGATGGTCCAGTGAAGGATCTGATCTACTTCTAGTCCTGGAATATATGCCAAATGGAAGCCTTGATCGATTCTTATGGGGTAAGTTAGTGTTGAAAAAGAAAACTACTAATAATTATTCATGTCAAATTCAATATTTAGAAACACTTGGTATGCTAATATATGATCATAATGAAGGTTCTGAAAGGGGAACTCTGGACTGGAACCAACGATATGAAATAATATTTGGGATAGCCAGGGGTCTTGCTTATCTACACAACGAATTTCATGTTAAAATCATTCACAGAGATATCAAATCGAACAACATTCTTCTTACAGATGATTTTAAACCAAAGATAGCAGATTTTGGTCTGGCAAGGTTTCTACCTGAGGATGAAACTCATGTTAGCACCAAGTTTGCTGGGACATTGTAAGATTGTTGATAAAATTATTGTTTGTGTATAATTAAGTTCTTTTATTTTTACTATGAAATATAATGTCAGGGGTTACACAGCGCCAGAATATGCACTTCAAGGTGTTTTATCGGATAAAGTTGACACTTACAGCTTTGGAGTCGTGAGTCTTGAAATTATTAGTGGGCGAAGGAGTACTGAAGTGAAATCTGACAAATCATCCTCCGACTACCTACTGGAAGATGTGAGATGCCATATTAATACCTTTTCTCATATCTAGTTGTTCTGTTTAGAGAATGACAAGATCCGATTAATAAGAAACAAAAAAAATTACATTCGAGGTGCAGTACATATGAGAAGAAAAAAAGATAAAAACAAGATACAAACAAACATGCGTCCCTCCTCAAAACATAGCATGAAGCTAGAAAGAATAAGAAAGCAAAACAGATAATTTAAGATTATACCCAAGTTATAACTCCTGCAATAATGTGTACTTCCTCCTTTCCCTTTTGAATGCTGACTATATATGACCTTAATTAGAGACTTGAATTTTGAATGTATACGCTGTTGCTTGCACCATTAAAATATGTAAGTTGCATAATCTCAAACAAAACTTTGATCATGTAACAAGTATATATCTTCTGAAGTACTTATGTTTTTAAAAACAATAGACTTTAAATATTTCACATATAAAGGTGATGCATACTTTAGTGGATTTTACGTTCTTTGTAAAATTAATACTTACTGAACTCTTAATTTTTTTGATATGATTGGGTGAACAGGCATGGAAGTCATATGAGAAGAAAATACATATGAAATTCATTGATGTCACATTGGACTTGAACCAACACCAGCAAGAACATGTGATGAAGATCATTGAGATTGCTTTGTTGTGCACCCAATCACCAGCTTCGAAAAGGCCAACCATGTCGGAGGTCGTTTTAATGCTTCAGGATGGCCAATCGTTGGGGAAAAGAGAGCTAACCAGACCTACTTATGTGCACAATCATGAAAGGAGGATTCACATTGGTTCTTTAAAGAATTCCATTGCTGCTGATAATGTTTGCAAAAACCCAAAGGAAATATTAGAGGCAAATGAGAAGCTACGTAGTGAAAGAGGAATGAAAAAGTAGATGTAATGGAGAAAGGGATGAATGTTGCAAAGATCAAATAAATCAAGGATTCAGGGTTGATGATGGTGAGGTTTTTATGCAGTTTAAAAAAACATACACCAGGCAGCCTACTATTACTATTTGTCTGAATGAAACAGAATCCTCCATGTCATTTTCCTTGCTTTCTTTACAGAAAGTCATCAATGAGTATGTTTAAGCTATAATTACTTTTGAGTTTATCAAATTCAATGCTTTTTATGAGACGAATTATAACTTACACTGGTTTGAATGATAGACGAATTACAACTTACACTGGTTTTATGACATGAAAAATGTCATTCATAAATATTATGTCCTGCTTCATGAAATATTAAGGATTTCCGACAAACATTTTTTGTTATAAAATTATTTCATCTTTTGAAAAAAAAATTACGACACAAACACTTACGTCATAATTCAGCGTCATAGCAAAATTAAAAGAAAACACTGGATACTCTTCTCATATTTGTGTATCATCTTGAAAAAAAAAAAAAACTCAGTCGTCTTTTAATTTGCTCCTCTTCTATTGATTTCCTCCCATTTTCCTAGTTCAAACCACCTTTTCTTACTAGTTTATAGTGTACCCACCACATTTGAATTTTTTGTTATATAGTAGTGTGCTCAAGGAGAAAGGAGAAAGAGAACACGACTTTGTTTGAAGATCTACGGGTCGACATGAATGTGGTAAGCTTTGAATTTGATGCCTAGTCAATGTTTGGAGTGGAAAAAATACATATATGAAGGTTGATATTGAAGATGTTCGTGAAGATTGGATCTTTTTTGTCACAAACTTTATTTTCTAGTGATCTATTTTGCATTTGCTAAACAAAATTTTGGTAAATTTGAAATGTTTATTACTTTGTATTTAACATACAACATTGTGATGTGTAATCCATTATATTTGAATTAATGATATTTTAATTTATATTATTAGACAATAAATGTGACTTAACTGAATATTAATAAATTTAGAAAAAAATTATATTTTTATAAAAACATAAAATCTTGACATACAAATTGCTTTTTGTAATTGGATGTGATAAATATATTTCATGTGTTTTATAAAAAATATAAAAATTAAAAAATATAATGTCAGTTAGAAATGTTTGTCATAATTATATGTTGCAAGTTTTGACAGACAATTTCTGTCATCTTTCATTTATAATGAAGGCTTCAATGACATACATTTGTGTGTCATCTATATGCTTTAGTGAAATGCAATGTATGTCATTAAAGTCATGTTTTTAGTCATGATAATCTTTGTTTCTTAAATACTTGGAAAATTTAGATATTTGAATTTAGTTGAATACAAAAGGATGCAATGAAAATCATTGTGCTCTGATCTATTAGAAAATGGTATCATGCTTAAATACACATTTAGATGTTAAATGTTGTTAGTGATATATCTCGATAGTTGATGCACATCCTGAAAGATCCACCATTCTTTTTGACAAACAATATCGGAGCTCCTCATGAAGAGAAGCTTGACCGGATAAAGCCTTTGTCAAGAAGTTTTTAGAGTTGACTGGATAGTTTTTGCATTTCCGATGGAGCTAGATGATAAGGAGATCTTGCCACTAGTGTTACACCTAAGATTAGATCAATTCAGAATTCAATCTGTCTGGAGGTACTCCAGGTAGATCTTCTGGAAATATGTTGTAACAGCACACTATGACACATATCACAATATTCACCTCTTTTGGCCACTTGGCACGAGGACTTACCAGGGGTCACCTATCCTGGTACTACTCCCGCCCGAGCACGCTTAACTACAGAGTTCTTATTGGATATGTTGCTCTCACAGCTTTAAAACACATTTTGACAAGGAAGGTATCCATACCCCTTACAAGGAGTGTTTAGTTCTCCTTCCAAGAAGATGTGGGATCAGGTGTAACCCACCTTCACCCCCCCCCCCCCCCCCCCCAATTATAGGGTTCAACGTCCTTGTCGAACACATCAACCCGTGCCCCAGCTTTGATACCATTTGTAACATCCCCCTCTGACATATATCACAATATTGTCTGCTTTATGCCACTCGACACGAGGACTTCCTAGGGGGGTCACCCATCCCGGTCCTAAAAGTGTTGTGTCTCTACGAATTTAAAACGCGTTGTGATAAGGAAGGTATTCACACCCCTTATAAGGAGTATTTAGTTCTCCTTCCAAGCTGAGGTGGGATCAGGTGCAACCTTTCTATCACTCCCCGCTAGAGCGGAAACACGGGGCGTGGCAGTACAAAGGGTTTCATAGAAAAAGTTAAAAGACAACACCAACCTTAGTATTAAAAATCATTACAAATTTACAATGAGTTTGAAAAACTTTTTAGAAGAAATTATAATGTATTTAAAAGTCAACACATGCAAATGCTCCTACAAGTGTTGTGTCTCTACGTGCCCCTTACTAGATGATTCCTGAAAAAGCTTGTAAAACGAGCGTCAACTATAAAAATAGTTTGTGAGTACTCACATATTAAAAACAATATTGGTTTCATGAATTGAAATCAAAGTTTTGATATAAGTTTTCATAAATAAGAATATATTGCAAAAATGAGTAAATAAGTTTGCATAAACAAATTTCGTTTTCACCATGAGAAATAAAGTTCATTGTCAAAATGAGATGCAATGTTCCTATTCTCATGGGAAATAAGTTTGTTGTCATCATGAGAAATAGAGTACATTTCCAAAATGAGATTTAAAGTTCATATTCTCATAGGAAATAAGTTTGTGTCATCATGCGAAATAAAGTACATTGCCAAAATAAGATGCAAAGTTCACATTCTCATGGGAAATAAGTCCTTTGTTATCATGAGAAATAAATTACATTGCCAAAATGAGATGTAAAGTTCATATTCTCATGGGAAATAAAGTTACTATTTTTTTAAAATTCTTTGATGTTATACATAATATGTGAAAAATATCAAGACTCATTTGTAAACAGTGGAGTCTAATTTTTGGATTTATGAATGTTTAATCTTAGGAAAATTGAAGAAAAATATCTTATAGAAGAGAAATTTTTACAACTTTTATATAGTATCCTAAAGTAATATAAGATTTTCTGGTAAATAGTTATGAATTTTGGATCAGTAAAAACCATTTATCCCGATTTTAGTCCATTATAAAAACAAAAATCATGGAAAAATATAAATAGATTATGAAAAATCCCCAAAATATTTTTATGAGTATAAAACATGACCTAGAAGAAGCGAAATTATTAAATGCTTTTTTGATATCTCGGAACTTGGTTTTATCATTTATTTGTGTTAATCATAAATAAAATTAAAAAGAATAGAAAACAGTAACAAAAATTGATGAAACTTAATGAGAGATGCTTATTAACTTTAAGGGTCATCTTCGAATTTAGTCTAGATTTATGGACCTCAAAAAGTATTTTATATGAATTATTGCTCTATTTTCTTGCAATAATTATAATTATTCAAGAAAAATAAATTATTTTCTGAAAATTTACAGATCATCTTATTTTGTCGTTTGGATTCTGAGAAAAATCACATTTGAACATAAAAGAAGATTTAGGTATTTATTTGGGAATAAATCGCTCATGAACATATTTGGAAGCTTTTAACAACAAACTATGATCATTTAGCATCTAAGCTTGAAGATCTTCACATGAATGTTGGTTTGAAGACCATTCATAAGTTTGAAATGTTTAAAAGTTCTTTTTGAAAGAAAGCTTATGTAACACCCATAAAATCATGCCAAATTTAAACTTTTAAAAATATTTCAAAACGATTAATTAATACAAAACTTTGTTTTCAAAATAGTAAATATCAGAGTATCTCATAAACATAGACATAAATGTGAGGATTTGTACGATCACGCCTTTGCCTTTCTGCAATCATATGATGTACATGAAACAAAAACTGAAATTGTAAGCCCAAAGCTTAATGAGTTTGTCACACCCCGAAACCCAGGGCGGAAACGTTCCGGGGTGGAGGTGACTTCATGTTAAGTATCACAACCAATGTACATAGTAAGCAAAGTAAACAACCATTACATTACATATTAAAAATTTACATTTGTTTAAAAGTAAAGTGTTACAAGTGTTATACATATGTATATATGAACAAAAGTATAGACGTGTCTTCTACGAACTCCGTCTTCGCCAAAAGGATTGTTGGGTACCTGTCTAAAGTGGATCTGAGAATACAAGCAGTTTGAAAATAAGCATAAAGATGGTGAGTTCATAAGAGATTTTGTTTTCTGAAAAATGAACAAGTTTCCTTTCGGTTTCTGAAAAAGTTACGAATCCAAGAAAATCCCATATTTTCTTATATGTAAAGTTTGGTTATCTATTTTCTTACATAAATCTGGTTATGAACAACTGTTATCCCAGGAAAATCCCATACTTTCCTAAAAGTTGATTACCGATCCAAAATGTAATGTAAAAGATGTATTTTGAACACTTGGTTATCCTTGTGAAGTGTATTCGTTTTATCTTGTATATAAAACTAATAATTATAAAGTAAACTAGTTACTAACCCATTATTACTAACAAGTAAATCTCTGTTATCCAAATTACGAGTTCCATAACCATACGATAGACTAGATATGGCAATAAGTAGTCCAAATCATTTTATGACTTTCATCACCCTTGAACCTTTCGGTTCGGCTGTAGCTAGCAGCCAGGTGCGGGGTAGTCAGCCGCATATAGATTTATTCACTCAAGTCACGCTCTCCCTACCGGAGATTCTGGTTACAGGGGCGGTCCTCCACTCGCGTATCTCTGTGGAGTGTTTCCGAGGATGTGTCTCCAATTTATAGGAATAACAAATTTACTAGTAATAATACAGAAAGGTCCTGTTACAAACAGTGAATCCTCCATTCGTGTATCTCTATGGAGTGTTACCGAGGACAAATCAAACGTACCAATATGTTGCTTTTAAAAATAATGATATGGAACAAATCATTTGTGAAATATAAAACATAACAGTTAATAAAGAGTTTCACAAATAGTTTGAAGACTGACTGTACAGGTTTAACATTTGGTTAATATTGCTTCCAATGTTAAAAGCATGTGAATATCAAACATTTTAAATGTATTAAATAGTTTAAGTACAAGATATTCTTGTACTTTCGCTTGTATTCCCCTCTGAAAACATTGAAAAACACTGAAAAGGGTAGGGGTATGAACTCACCAGACGAGAAAACGTGTTGGTTTGGATGTTATGTGTCGGTTCTGGGCTTGATAACGTGCGAGGTTCCTATGTAATATGGAATGATACACAAATGTATCTAATTAGACTTTAATGATTATACACTCCAAGACACGAAAACACTTCAAATCAAGTGTTTGGAGTGACCCGAGTGGCATTTCTGGGCGAATAGGGCTTAGATAATGAGTTTGCTCTTCAAGAGTAAACTCCTTAGGGAGTTTTCAGCCCTAAGATCATGTCCACATGAGTTCACGACCGTGAACTCATGGATGATGGGTTTTAAGGTGCTCAAGGGTCAAATATCACTTGGTGAATATTGCTAGGATTTAATCTAAGGCATAGGAAGGAATTAAATCACCAAATGAACCATCAAAAGGAGTTTACGGCTGTAAACTAGGAGTTTATGGCCTTAAGCTCCTAAGTACCCTTTCTTTTTATGTTTTGGTGGTCTTAGATAAATCACATGTGATTCAAACTTATTTTACAAGCCATGGAATGGGTTTAGGGCATCATTTGACTAAGATATAGGAGTTTACGGCCTAAGAACATATCCTTGGAGGGTTTATGGTCGTAAGCTCCTATGGGGGTGGTTTTCATCATGTTTAAGGCCCCTAAATCAATTGTGGTTGCTTC